CCCGGCCCCCAGCGTCTCCCCTGCGCGCCGGGCCCCACGGGTGGGCCGGCCCTGCGCGCCTTTTGCGCGCCCCCGCGCAGGCCCTGTGGTGATGTGGGGCAGGGGCGCGGGCCCGCTGGAAGGGCTGAGGCCTCCCCCGAGGTGCCCACGCGTGTCCCCGCCGGGGGGAGGCCCCGCTGCCCGGCGAGGGACCTATAACTATGTGCGGCCAGGGAAGTTGGGGGGGAATGGGGGGCGTTTGCTGGAGAAGAAGGGAAGGGGGGCGTCCCGCGGCCCTGCGTGTCCCCTCACACAGCCCCCACGGGCTTTCCCGCGGCCCCGTGGGTCTGTGCACGGCGAGTCGGCCCGGCCCCAGGGGTCGGAGGGAGCTTTGGCCACGAAATCGAAGCCCCCCCCCTCCGGGGCCGGGGCTCGGTGTCCGCCCCTCCCCAGTCCCCCCAACTATGTGCGGCCGGGGAGATGCGAGGAGAGGCCGAGCAGCCCCCAGCAAGCCGAAAATAACTGAAAATAACTGAAAACCAGAAAAAAAAACCAAGGCAAAACAAAACAAAAAACCACAAAAAATCAAAACAAACAAACAAACAAAAAAACACCCCAAAAAAAACCCAAAACAAAACCCAGGAGGGAAGGTTGGCACCTTCCCCTGGGGGCTGCTCTGGGTTGGAGGCGTTTGGTCTGAGCGGTCTGTTCTGGGAGCGGAAGAGACCCCCCAGGGGATCCGGGGACGGGGCTGAAGTTTGGGCCGTTATTTCGAGCTTTTTCTTTTTTTTTTAATTATTTTTTTTTTATCATAAATCTTGACTGTGGGAAGGGCCGGAGCGGACTGCCTCGAAAATCCACGCACGAAGCGGGGAGACAGAAACCAGTGGCTGCAGAGACTTTGAATAAAACTGTCTCTCCCTTCGAGATGGGGGAGGGGGGGGTGAAGCGCCCCCTCCGTCCCGCAGAGCGGCGGGTGGAAACTCTGGGAGAGCGCGGGGAGGCGGCTAAAAAAAAAAACCAACAAAAAACATAACCCCAAACTTCTGAAAGCCGGTTTCATATTTCTGCAAAATATCATACAACAATAAATTCCCCTGACAAGCTAATTAGCTTTTTTTCTTTCCCCTGCCGGATAGGAATGACAAGTTCAATAGCTCGTAGGTTACAGAAACCGCCATGGGTGCTTTCTGGGTTTTTTTGGGGTTTGTTTTCGGAGGAGCTTCCAGGATTCCTTTTTAAAGTTAAATATTGCTTAAAATGGGTGGGGAAAGGAGAGAGACTGTCCGGGAAATTGGGAAAGAAGCTGTTGTTACACCCAGGAAAGGCAGCTGGACCCGAGGGGGGGTCAGCGGGGGTGGCAGGGATAACCTTGGAAAAATAGGATGTGTATTTTGCAACAAGATCATTTGCTCGAAGTAAAATCTCTTATGGTTACCTGGGATGGGGGGCGAGGGGGGGGGGGTGACCCCGATCCTCCCCACCCCGCTGACCCCTGCCTCTCTCCCCGGCCCTGCAGGTCAAGGTCTGGTTCCAAAACCGTCGGACCAAGCAGAAAAAGGACCAGGGCAAGGACTCCGAGCTGCGCTCCGTGGTGTCGGAAACCGCCGCCACCTGCAGCGTCCTGCGGCTGCTGGGACAAGGCCGCCTGCTCTCCCCGCCGGG